TCTTAAATTGAATCTGATTTATTTGTTAAAAGATATTTTGTATTCATAGTGTCATGTTCTATTGTAATTCAAAATTTCAAATTGCCGATATGAATATGAATTTGGATAGTTTAAAGAAACAAAATCCCTTATATGAAGAAATTTATTCCTTGAAAATACACATATTCTTTAAATTGCATAATCAATCAATTGATCTTAATTTTTTGAAAATTACTACGTTTATTTTTCTTTTTATTAATATGCATAAAGTTAAACTAATTAACTTCGGGTCTTTCCTCTCCTTAAAGTCGAGCTCAACGCGAGAGGTCATAACAGATGCTCGACTAAAAGGAGAGGTACTTTTTATTAATATTCATAAAGTAAAAATAATTAATTCATCTTTAGATTTATAATTTCTAAACTTAATGTACTGTCATTTGGTGTAGACATTTATTATATGAATCATAAAATATTTTTATTTCATAAAATTAAATATATCAAAAAAAAAATAAAGAAATTTCTTTGGATCAATTAGATGATTAAATTAGGGTATTGTCCAAGTTGATTGTTTTACTTTTAGGTGATATTTAAAATAGTCAAAAAAATTGACACAACTTGATTGGACTTAAAGTGACTAAGTTATCTATCTGTTTGATCAGACCAATTCGATTATTGAACCTAAATATAAATTTTAATATTAGAAATACTTTATTACTTGAATGTGATGTAGTCCAAACTTTAAATAATCATATTAACAATATTTTTATGACCACATGTTTAATAATTTATAAATATTTATGTATCATTTTATTAATTATTTTGTGAATAAAATAATATTTTATTATAATTTTTATTAATGTACAAGAAATATAAGGTTTTCAGAACCGGACCGTCATCGAAACGATCAAGTTATTTTATTAAATTATTTGTGCTCTGTTCAAATTTTAATTTATAAACATTTTAATATATATAACTCATCGAAAAGATCAAGCTATTTTATTAAATTATTTGTGGTCTGTTTAGATTTTAATTTATAAACATTTTTATATATATAATACTTTTTGTAATAAATTTAAAGAAAATATGATACTTAAATATCTAAAATAATTTATAAATTCAAATGTTTAAACTATTGATAAAGAGTTTATAAATCTCCATTTTATTTAAATATGTAATTTTATATAATTTTAAATGTAACCAAATTTATTTAGAAAATCGATATCGATCATACCAGTCAAACCGACTGGTGTTGACAGATTCGATAGCTAATATTTTATTCAAGCAACTAGACTGGTTATAAATCGGTTCTCGGTCCATCCGCCCGGACTGTGTCCAACCCGATTTAATTTAAAAACAATGAGTAAATCATGATTAATGTTATACATATATTTAATTTATAATACAATCGTAATATTGCACTAGTGAGAGAAAGAGACAAAGATAGGACTTTAAATTTTTATTCTTTTTTTCCTTTTTTAAATAAATGGTACATCAATAGACATAATCGTGACACCAATTTAAAAATATAATTGTAGAAACAAATTACTTGATTGACACAATCCCACATAAAACACAACAAGGAAACACAAAATAAAATGTGTTGAATTTTTATTTTAAGATCGTATTTATAATTAAATAACATATATAATATGCCAACATGAATACAGTAGGACAACATGATTTGTATTATTTTTCTCTTCGTTTGGTAATCATCATAAGTTAAATTATAATTTATTTAATTAAATTATAAATTTTTGTATTTAAATAAATTTGGTTTTGATTGAATAAGATTTTTAAAGAAATAAAGCTTATCTCATAAGTTAAAACAAACTACCAATTCTTAGCTTGAAAATTATTTATAAATTTCACATCAAATAACTACATTTTCAGTTAGATATATCAAACATATCCTAAATCTCACCTTAGAATTTATTATTGCTTAATGTGACTTTTGTTTTCTTCTTTTGATGATTACGGTTTGGGTAGATAGGAAATTTATTTACAAATACGTACCCTTTTGATTTGAACTTTAGGAAAAAAGGTAAGCTGAAGAGTGAAGCGGCCCTACTTATGTTTATTATTAGTATTATTTAATTAATATCTTCATTTTCACTCTGTTAAAATTGTTTCGTGTGATCTGTTCAATTTTCATAATTCCCACACAGTGATATTCCAACATGATCATCTTTTTCAAATATATGTGATGAATCAATTTATAAAAAATTATTAGTACCTCTAGCTATCTTTAAATCATTATTATTCGTGTTTTCACATTAAAACGGAATAAATAATGCCGCCATTTTGTTATTACTTCTTGTTCGAGTAGGTTTGACGCAAGAAAGTGGGATACTTTTCTGTATATTAGAGATGCCTTAGGGAAAAATTATTGCCGACTTGTGAGGGAGGTTCTTCAATTGTATTCTCAATTTATTTTAGTTTTGACTAGTTATGTGGGTAAAAAGTTTATTTTAAAAAAGTTGATTAAGTTAGATTTAATTGAAATTTTGAATTTATATTACAATAATATTTAAAATTAAATGATTAAAGTTGGTTTGATGTACAAGTAAGAGAAATGTGATTGAATGTGATGAATAGTTAAAATTTTGTGAGTTGATAAATAGTTAATTAAAGTTGATGCGATGTGTGAGTGATATAGATACGAATACAACCAACCTAAACCATTCAGCCTATTCGTCGGGCCTCCGTGAACTGTGTTTAACTCGATACATTACGTGTGCTAAGTTACCCAAATAAGATACAAATGATTGTTCAATCTAGCCAATTTTGGGCCTCCATTTAACCATGTAACGAGAGCCATTTCGCATGTTATAGAATCTGGAAAACGACCCACAACAATGACCCAAAGCTCATAGTGGCTCGACCCACGACAACCCTAGGTGACCCTCAATCCTACGACCCGACTACCACCTGAACCACTGGACGACCCAAAAGACAACGACCCACTGAATGAATAATTTCAAATGTCCCACGTTAAGGATGACCCAAAAAGCTATATTAAGACCCAAACGCTGGTATGACTAAAATAACCCAAGCCTTATACCAAGGCCAACACGACAATAACTCGACCCAGGGCCTAAAACACAAGGCTTAAAAGATAACAGTCAAATGAACACATAAGCAATTCTAGTCACGCGGATAAGAACGTAGTCTATTTGGGCAACCAGCCGTCCCTCTCGGACAGCCTGCTGGGGCGCCTGTTGTACTTTCGAGCAACCCTTTTTTGGGCAGTAAGACAAAAATTATGGTAAAATTATCACTATAAATAAGAGGTAAGAGAATGTTTGTGTTCTCTTCTCCCACTTCTATTTATTGATTACTTTGTAACTATTTTATGATCTTCATTTTCTTTCTAGAATCTTTACTGACTTTATCGCCGGAGTGCTAACGCCGGGAGAACCTCTCGGCTCATTTTGCAGGTCAACAACTCCGTTGTGGATCATTCTGTCTTCGGCGACTGGGTCGTCAAGCACAACCGAGGTTTCAACAGGCTCACCCGACTTAAACCAAGCTTTTGTGGAGTATCATCAGTGAGTATAATTGAGTGGTATTATTTAATTATATTGATAATATTGAAGAGAGTTGGATTGAGTCAATTTTGAATTAGACTTTGAATTAAAAAAAATGATTGGTCATAGGTAATTGAGATTTATTTTTGTATCCAAGCACTCGCTTAACCTCTGTTCACAATAGCACATGATTAATTATATTTGTGGTAGCAGATTGTACTTACTAGTTTGACGGATTCAATTGGCGATTTAATCAAATAAGCATTTGATAAATAATGAAAATTTATAGTTGTTACATTATATATATATTTTTTTTAATCACATTATTCCAAAATGTTGCTCTTTTGAACTTTTTAAAATAGCGCGAGTCTAAAACATTAATCGAATAAGCTCGTTACCAAACAAGCAAATTGACAGATTGATTGGTTAAACTTCTAAATAAGATCAAATCCGCTAATTTAGTACCAATCAGTTAATTTAGCACCAATATGCTAATAAACAAGCAAGGTCATGAACATCTTGAAAAAGGAGATTAGTAGAATAACGTGTAAACATAAGATTTTTAAAATAATTTATCAAACAATTATTTACGAACCACAAAAAAAAAGGAGATTAGTAGAATAACATGTAAACATAAGATTTTTAAAATAATTTATCAACAATTATTTACGAAACACTAATACAATTTGTTAGTCAAAATCAATTATTGTAATTTGGTATAAACTATGATAGCAAACAAGGGCCTATAACTTTGTGCAAACCGACGATTTTGCAAAATAGTCCTTATACTGATTATGCAACATGGGACTAGTTTTCCTTATTCAAAATTGGCAGGGACCGATTTGAACAACTTTTTGACAAGAGAAAAAAAAAAAAAAAAAAAAAAAAAAAAAAAAAAAAAAATCCTCTTTGTGCAACTCCATGCATGACTTGTGGATATTCTGAAATTTATATGGCGATGTAAAGAAAAACCAAGTCCCAACAAAGATTGCTGGGCATCAATATAAGCATCTCAATCTGCTTGCTTAAGTACCAAAATTCTAGATTCCTGGCGAAGTGTTTCTCAGCTGAGCATCAAGCAAACACGCATACTGTCGCTACTTTAGTCAGAATACTTGGTCGTAATAAGGCTGCCAAGTCGAGTATTGGCCTCATCTGAGCCAAGCTTGATTTTTTTTCATTGTTGCTCGAGCTCGACGAGTTCGACTTTTCTAAGGCTCAGCTCGACTCAACAAAAATGTAACTGGCTCAAATTATCAATCAAAACTTTCTATTCAAGTAAGAAATTTGGCTCGTGTTTAGCTCGAGTTAGTTGTATATAGGTAAATTACACTTATACTCGAGCGGCTCATCGTGCGATCGAGCTTGTAACATACAGNTCTCCATCCAAGGCTTAATAAACATGAGTACAAACAACAAATATAGCCAATTACATTACAAAGTTACAACATCACAATAAACCAGAGAATTACAACAGTACCTTTTTATTCATCATCATTTGATGGTTATGTAGCGGTTAGTCCCGTGTTTAGCCCAGTGGTCCTTCAAGTCAACCGGGCTCGACAAGTCATGTCCCTCACCCGCCAGCCTGCTGAGCAGCTTGTTAAACGCACTCCCGCTCATTTTTCTCCCACCAACCCTCGCGTGCCGTTTGTTCGGTACAGCTGGCAGCGGGTACATCGACAGGCTAGTCGTGCAGCACGAGGATTGCCACCCACCATTCCCCCACTTGTAGCAAGGCCTCAAGACTCCCGTGCACGAGCAAACGGGCACTGGCATTGTGCTCTCGTCAAACGCCACCTGGTTCAGCCCAAGGTCCTGCTCTTTCCACTGCTGCTGCTCTTGCTTCAGCCCGAGCCCGGGCCCGGCCCTCCAGTCGTGGGCCTGATCAGCGGGCCCTTCTTGCTTAACCTTCTTGGGGGTGGCGGCCCGCTTGCTGCCAGCCCGCTTATTGCGGCGGGCTGACGACTTCGCGGGCTCGGCTGGGGAAGGGCCCGACTCGTAATTGGGCTCGATTAGAGGGTGAGGGTGGTGAATGTGCTTGACCCCGCGTCCGATTTGGCAGCCGGGAGGGCATTGGGAGATGTTTGTGTTGTTGTTTGTGTTTGGGTTGTTGTGTAGGGCGTTTTCTCGGTATTGGAGAGTGGCGATGGCGTTGTCTCGCTCGATTATGGCGTTGTTACGTTCGGCGATGGCGGAGTCGCGCTGGAGAATGGCCATGTCGCGTTCGGCGAGGGCGGCCTTTTTTTCAGAGAGGGCGAGGTTGCGTTCTTGGATGGCGGCGTCTCGTTCGGCCATGATCGACATTATTTGTTTCATCGAAGGCTGGTGCTGCATCAGCCACTGAACCAGGGGAAAAAAAAAAGCAAATTTTTGGGTTGAGTTTCGGTGATTTTTTGAAGATAATCGGGGAAGGTTTCAGTTTTAGTATAATTAAAGCGAAAATAGATAGTTGTATGTGGAAATTGCAAATAAGCCCCCACCCGAGCTTTGCATTTATCTAAAATATCCGCCTCTTGAGGGTACAGATTGCGATTTTATTTTTTTTTTAAAATTAAGAGTAGACTTCAGGAGTAGTTTTGTTTGCTTAAAGCTGTAGATGTACTAAACATTTACCTGGCCCTGAGGCGGTTTGTGTCTCCCATTTTCACGGTGCGAACTGTCGTCCATCTAAGATCCACAGTGAAAAAAATATTCAGCTTGCAAAAATGTTCATTTCAGACTTGTAAAAACACGTGCAACACAAATATGAAGCGAAAGTAGATCACTTATTAGAGCAGTGTTTGCTTGCCTGATATGCAAAGGTTCCGGATGGTAATTCGCCAATCTTGTGCTTGTAGAGTGGTAAAAAAAGTGCTAATAAATCGAGAAAGGAACATGCACTGGTACATTATATGCAGGATGGAGACGAGTAGCAGGGAACATCTTTTCCGCAAAATCCTCCTGCGAAGAAAATCATCAATATTTGAGGAATAGGATAAACAGAGAACACCAAAATAAAAAAGAAAATGAAAAATCACTTATTGCAATGAGACAATGAAATATTTGATAGTGACTTATAAGAGAGCTTGACATATTTAGAAGCTGAACACGAAAGATGCCGAGATTAATATACATTAATGGTAATTCTGATTCAAAGGTAATTGAGAGTAAAGATCTTGGAGTAGAATATACAAGCACGGTGGCTGAGTGAAAAGGCTCATTATGCAGCCTGTATCGCTAAAATCAAAATTCAATTGAGATTACGAATAAGCTTACTACTGTCCAATAAAGATTATGAACCAGCTCACAGTCAGATAAACTGATTCCAAAAACTACCCTTGAGGCTCAATCATTTTATTTTTTAACTAATGAATAAAAAGAAGATAGAAGGAAAGAAAACCACCATCTCTTCATATTACACATAAACCCAAATGAGCTTTCCATTTACCTCACAAAAATTTCTGTAAGAAATAAACAAATATGAGGTCATATTGTCATTTGAATTTTCATTTAGTGATTAACCCGTTGAACAATTAATAATATAAACATAAACTAAACTTATTTCTCTAGTTCTACAAGGAAGTAACTAAAATATAACCTAATGCGTGAATGACAGCACATACATTACTAGCTGACTGAGTAAATAGTCAGAACTCGGAAGACAACAGGTTTAAAGCCCTCAAGTTCGTATATGCTTGTGTCATGCAATATAATAACAAAGTTAGTACTGTAACTTTGACCTTTCAAGTTTCAACTAAGTCTTGAAAAAGATTGTTCTTTCTAGGCACGAGAATTAACAGTATACCACGGAAGTCAATTTATGTTTTTGCATAAGCTTAGTATAATGGAAGTCTCAAATCAGATTAGGACAGTCATGAGCAGCAAACAGCTTATAGTATGCGTAAGGCTTGGAGAGCTAATGGCTTCCAATCTTCTAGAATGTACATTGTCTTCACATCTACAAATGAAGTTTGAGGATCTATCGAATTAATGAACATAAATGGAGAAGGTAACAAACTTAGCTAAAAGCTCTGCATATTCTGGATCAAGCACCAAAACATATATTTAGACATAATTGTCGGCCATTCCAATTTCACAATTAATCTACATGCGTCAATTGTTTCTTTTTTCTTCAAAATACAAACAATGCAGCAAAATCCTATTTCACTCTTAGATAAATTATAGCAGAAAAGCACCTTTACAAATTTCATTCTCCATTTACTCAAATCTTATAGTTTTAGTTTATTATCTTCAATTGTTACCATCCTAAAATATTTCATCTACATCAACATACTCAGACTAGCAAGAAGTGAGGTCAATTGCAAAATATATGGAAAAATACCAACCCAAGTACTAGAGAAGATAAGAACTTGAACTCAAAACCAAACCAAAACCAACAGCACATGATAGAAATCTGATAGGCCAACCACACACCACAAAATATATAATCAACAACAAGCAGCAAGAAAAGAAAAACAACTTCAACATCAATCAACCAGAATGCAACTGAGCCCACATCACCAAAAATCCCCAAATCAAGCCAATCAAGCTTCTTACAAGTCAACAAAACACCAAATTTACAAACTACAAACAAAGAGCAAGATATGAAAGAAAGCAACAACAAGAAACTCCTCAAAAGCAGCCCAATTTTCAACAAAAACAACTGAATCAAACTCCAAGAACAGAAGAAAATAATCAAGAAAGGATTTTTTTACAAGTTTCGGCAGGAACACAGCAGCTCGTGCGGTTAAAACACCATAGCGAGACGATGAAGATGAGCTGAAACCCTAAATAAAAAAGAGGGGCTAGATAACGAAAGATGGGAGTGAAAGAAAAATGAAGAAAAATATCTCTGTTGGAAAGAATAGTTGTTGAAATTGGCATTGAAGAGGAAAAAAAATGCACCTAAAGAAAAAAACCACACATGCCCCACTTTCTCTTTCTTTTCCCCATTCTGGATATTATTTTACCTGTGAGCCTCTATCATTTAACTATACACCATTTACATTACATTTTAGTTTTTACACCTCCATTTTGTTTGTTTCCCCATTACTTTTCTACTATGACGATAAAAAAAGGACTTTACTTTTATTTTATCAAATGCCATCACAATCGAAAGAGTGTGATTTTTACTTGAAAAAACAGAGTGAGGTGAAAATAATGTGCTCGTCTTAAATGGGCTGGTGAGAGAGGAAAAAAAAATTGAAACTGAAAGCGCTTGTCCTTAGCCATTAATGGGGATTCTTGAGATACGTGAGAGGAGGTTCGCAAATGACCTTTTTTCAACTTATCTCTTTTTAACTTTTACATCGGCCAGTCAATGGCACGTCATTTCTATCGGTGGTTTTTTTTTTGTTTTTTTTGTTTTTTTTTCATATNTGCAAGAAATAATAGTAATGACTGTAAATTCGAGTAAAAAAATTTTATCCAAGTGATTTTATGTTTATCTTACGATTTGACCTTGGATTCGGAATTGAGCTTTTTTTACCGCTTGACTTATTAACAAAATGAGTCGATAAACGAGTTCGAGCTTAACTTGTTTATCAATATTTAATGAGTTCGACCTCGAGTTTTAACTAGACGAACTCGAGTTTTAAGGAGTCCGAAACTACAAAGGATTACAAAATTTTATTTTTTTATCTTTGATAAATCGACCTGAGTTCAAATCGTTAACTAAACGAGCTCGAGCTTTAACGAGTGAACCCGAGCTTAGGTACAACTTTTATTTTTACAAGTCTACTATTAGAGTATCAGACATTCAAGCTATTGATAGAAACTCATTCAGTTCTAAATTAATAGCTGATGAATTCAATTAATTCTTAGAGTTCGTAATCCGAAAATTCCTATAGCAAATTATATAAAATTGAAGGGAAGAAGCATATATGATGGATTCATGTCGATTGATTGCATTGGAATTCAAATTTGATTTTGGTTGAAGTTCTTCCAAAGGCCGTGATCCATTTTCTCTTATCTTCTGACGACGTGATGAAGAATCCTCGTTGTTAAGAGGAAGAGGCCGAGGCTATATTTAAGGCCCCTTTTATTTATCACGACTTTTAGAGAATCTATTCATTAATTTGAACCTAAATTATTTTGTTAATTAAATCACCCAAGTTTAATAATATTATTTGTTAAATCAATAAATAATAATATTAATGGGTATTCACATTTATTCATTTCACAATTTAAATTAAACTTCTAAGCGGATACATAAATAATTTGATCACTGCTAAACAACATTATAATCAATGTATCAATAATATATATTTAATCTCAAAATAAATTTGACAACTATATCTTAATTCGTGAGAAAGTATAGTAGCATGTTATCTAGGTGTTCGCTAATTGATTTTTTTTAACTGAATAAATTTATTTCACATATAACCTTATCATAAATGTTGTTTAGTTAGCAAATCATTTTTGCTAATACGATTGCACGTACCAGATAGCGAATTTTGTGAACCAATAGTATCAACGTTTTGATGATGAGAGTAAAAGACAATGCTAGCACAATTAATCTTCTAATAAAGTCGAGTCATTATACGTTGATAACGATTAAGTCGTTTATTAAGACCAAATGATCATCACGGTCAAATTTCAATTTCTTTAGAGGAACATCAGATATCATTGTCAATAATATGCTAACTAAAATCGAATGGTAATATATAAATTAAATATTTCGGTAATATTTTAAACACAGTAATAAATGAGAATGATTATTAGAGGGAAAACGAAAAGCTTGATAATATACTACTTGTCTATCTAATGAAATGAAAAATAAGAAATAGATTTATCAATATTTTCAATATATTTTTCACAATACAAGAAAGGCAGCCTAACGATTAGAAATGTCAATCCGCCATACTTTTCGAAAAAAAAAATGCATATCTATACTTATATTATATGATTTAACATTTATCAAATTTAGTAGGTGAGTCAATGGTCAACGTGAACTTTGCATTTATTATTTTCCAAATATGGCAACTTCAATGTCCTTTTCACACGCTATTTAACTATCATCTCCTTATGTCTTTTTCACACGGTTAATTAGTCATTAATTATATAGAATTTATCATGATATCAACCGCACACGCCTCTTAAGAATCCTTATCCCATTATTTCCACCTTATAAGAAGGAGACGATAAGGAGAGGATATTTTTTTATTGATAAAATAAGGAAACAAAATTTCGTAATAAAGAGTTGATATTGGGTAAAATCCTCGGCTTAAAACTCCGTATAATAAGGATAAGATAATTGTACTTCCTATCAAAATTCAAAACGTGTGATAAGATAATTATGCATATTCTGCCGATTTTGTTTTCAAAAGTCGACAGATAAAAAGATTCGATAGATTTTTTACCGATAAAAAGGAATTCCATAACAACAAGACTTTCATTAACATCGATATATATATATATATATATATATATATATATATATATATATATATATATATATATATATATATATATATATATATATATATATATATATATATATATATATATATATATATATATATATATATATATATATATATATATATATATATATATATATATATATATATATATATATATATATATATATATATATATATATATATATATATATATATATATATATATATATATATATATATATATATATATATATATATATATATATATATATATATATATATATATATATATATATATATATATATATATATATATATATATATATATATATATATATATATATATATATATATATATATATATATATATATATATATATATATATATATATATATATATATATATATATATATATATATATATATATATATATATATATATATATTCTCTCATTACCACCATTATCACCATCACGCATTCACCATATTACAATTACAATTACAATAGCATATTTCAGAACCAAAAAAACCCTCTCCGATGGATCAAGCATTTGGATTAATAGAAGAAATTAACAGGAGCAAAAGACCAATGCTTAAAGTCCGCATTGTCAGGATGTTTTATCAAGATAAAGGCAGCACTTTCAAGTCGCATCTCGAGCTTATTTTGCATGATAGGACGGTACGAATTTCTAATCAATTTTATTTTTCTCTATTGGTTATTTACATATCATATAGATTACTCTTAAATTTCCCTTTTTAATTTATTTGTGAAGGGAAAACGAATTACAGCATTTCTAAGAGCAGTCTACTTACCGGGTTTCAAAGAGAAGTCCATTGAAGAGAACATGGTCATTCTCATACGAAACTACCAAGTTGATAGCAACCTTGGTATGTATAGATCTACGGATGGCGAGTTTAAGATAATCCTACATGGGGGCACTATATTTATGAAATGCAAAGACACTTTGTCTTTTCCGATGTTCCGCTTTTCATTCAGAGAATTTGCAACGGTGCAAGACGTCAACAAAATAGACGAGTCAATTCTATTCGGTAATTTCACTTTATACTTTTGGGAATATTATTTTACGTAAATGATCTACAAAGTCTATATATTCATAAATATAGATTAACAACCATTTTTTTTTTGTTCGTAGACGTCATTGGATTAGTTATTGATGTCCAAAGTGTACAAGACAAGCAGGTCAAATCTGGTGATACACAAATGGTGGCCTTCATCCTCATGGACTTAAAGTAAGTTTACACAACTTAAACTACTTACATAAAATTCAAACGTATAGATATTTTCGAACGCCCTTATTAAATGCTTTGTTTTTTAAATGCAGTGAAAATTTCATAAACTGCACAGTATGGGGCGACTATGTTGACAAACTATTGGCTTTTGAGAGCCCCTATGAACATACTGGTCTACCATGGGTACTCATCATGCAGCAAACACGTGAAAAGGAATACCTTAGTAAGTATATTCAACAATTATTTTATTCACTTTGAATACCTACGAGCATCCATCTAACATCTTATATTGCCTTTGTAGAAAAAGTACAAGTTACTACTTCTTTAAACGTCACTAAGCTAATTGCACACGATTCAGTGGAGGAGATCCATGACTTTTGGAGAAGGTTAAATTAAATTACAACTTTATCTATTTTTTCAATTTTATTTATTTATATAAATCATATAAATAATTGTTAAAAATACGTTTTCTACTGTAGGTACACTTCAAGCAATTTGAATAGGACAAAATACAATTCAAATTCGAAAACTATTACTAAGACTGAATTGGAAGAATTGCAATCTGGTGATATTCCAGTTTCTTCGATGGAATGTTTGTTCAAAAATAAAGAGGTATATATATTTTAATTTCGAAGCATTAATTAGCACTTATAATTTTTAATTTTGTAATAATTATAGTAGAAAATCATAAATATTTTCTCTTCAATGAATTTTCAATTCAAGATAAAAGCATATGGATATGTGCTTCCATTGACTCTGTTGTGGGTGATCGGTGGTATTTTGCTTGCCGCAGTTGCAGCAGCAAAATGCTGAATTCAGACACTGGTTTCAAGTGTAGCAAATGCTCAAAAGAAATCGGGAAGTTCAGGTATTTTTCTAATTTTCAAAATACATATTAAGTTTCTTTGTTTATTTTCTAACTGTAATCTCCTTAATAGATACAAGATGAACCTGAGCATCTCAGATTCAACAGCTAATGCAGATATTGTCTGTTGGGACAAAGAGTCTGAGATCCTGATTGGAAAAACATGTCATACTTTGAGAACTGAATTCATGCGCAAGGTTGTTATTCTATAATTATTAAATTTTCAACAAATTCATTTTGGTCGTTAATTAAAAGTTCCATTTTTTTTTCTTATAGAATGCAGCAACTTACAAGTTGCCTGAAGAAATAAAGAATTTAACTGGGCAGGCTGTTCTGTTTAAAGTTCGTATACAGCAGCAACGATACTCGAACACATTGTCATTTACAATTTGCAGGGTTGTAAATGACAAAGATGTTGTTTCCAAGTACAGCCAGCTCATAGTTGCACCAGAGGTGTTAAATTGAATTGTTAACTTTTTTTATTCACTTTCAACCTGGGGCTAAGATTTTGTGTTAAATATTGTAGGTGTCCGACTTTTTGACAATGCTTCGAGGAGGTGATAGCAGCTATTATGTGGTATTGAATCTATATAATTTTTTGTAGATTGTAATTTCAAAATAGCATTATTAATAAGATGCATGTATTTGCAGGATGATATTGATGAAGAAGATGAGGTTTCTACACCTCTCAAAATTGCAAAGGAAATTGAAAAAGGGGGTGATTCATCAGCAAAGCGCAACTTGAGCGATATGTTCGAATCTGAAGATCCTAAGACGCTAATGTCTACAACGCAGGATAAAGGCAAGGCAAAGGTCTACGAAGATGGTTCTCTTATGCCAGCGGAAAATGCAGATGATTCATCTGAATGAAAGGACGTAGGTAGCTTCAAGTTTATTAGCAAGCTTTAAGTTTATTCTTCTATTTTAATCAGTATTTTATATTTGATGGTTTATTAGCAAGCTTTTATTAGATTATTTTACCTACGCCAGGACGTGGGCTTTGTTTTTCTATTGTTTTTAGACGCTCATTTCAACAGCTAGACTAAATAAAAGCATTTTATGATTACTTAATTATTTGGTCATCTACCTTTTATGTTTTTCAATTAAGTCGTTCATAAATTTCTCTTAAACTACTCTAAACTACCGGCACTATTTTTACATACGTAATAACAGTCCTCTCACATAACAGAATATGCAACTACAACTATGCACATCCATTCATGTATACATCAAAAAAATATAAAACATTCACTTCTAATGACATATAAAGCAAGTATAACATAAAAATTTAGAAACCAAAATTCTGACATCGATGGACTAACTATTCTTTAATAAGCAATCCACTTATAAAGCAAGAATAATATAAAAATATATAAATCAAATTACTTACATCTATGGACTAACCATTTTTTAGTATTATTATAACTCAACTACAAGTATAGATATAGATCATATTTATATCACCTTTTCGATATAGATTAAAAAAATAAACAGATTTTATAATTATTCTATTAACTAATGGAGTCGTGTGGATTGAATATTTTATATTTTATTTCCAAATATATGCATGTGCGAATATGTTATTTTTAATAAGTCAATATAAATCATTGTTTTCTATTATATCTTAATAACTTAATAACTTAATTATAAGTATAGATATCGATCATACTTATAATACCTTTTCTTAATAGATTAAAAGAGTCAACAGATTTTATAAATATTCTCTTTTTCTCTTACCTAATATAATAATGTGTACATTGAATATTTTAGTTTTTACTTCTAAATAGAAACGTGCGAATATCTTAGTTTAATAAGTCAATGTAAATCAGTGTTTGATTTTTTTAAAACTCTTTTAACCTCATCCATATCTAACAGAATCTGAATCATCTATTTAACTCTCTATATATTCTTCTCCTAATGCAGAATCATATATCTTCATTTTCTATTTATTTAGTTCTTTTTCAAAACTGTTCAATTTACGACTTGGATTTCAACTATCACCAAAGAACAAGAGACGACTTAATCAATCGACGGAATGAAAGGGAAACTAGCCAAAAGAAAGCAAACATCAAGCAATCCTATCAGCAACATTCATGAACAGGAGAACAATAACACAGATAATCGTGGATCTACTAATAGAGATGACAGAGGTCGGCCAATAACACAAACCATGATGATCGATAATGAAATTTCCAATCCAAGTAATCCTTCTAACTTGAGAGTTATTTTCTGTTTTTTTCTATTAGTTTATAATATGATATGTGTATTTTATGTTCAGCACCCTACTCATCTTCTATAGGCCACAATGTTTTTGCATTGACAAAGCAATTAGGCATTGAGAAATTTTAGAAACATATAAACATTTTAGATTTACCTATGTCTACCTGTCAATTTGTTGTGAAGTCATATCCTTTTGGATTTTCTTGGCATTGACAAGCCCTTTGGAGGCAAACCGATTGTCTTTGGTGGATACTTCAGACAAATTCTTCCAGTCATTCCAAAGGGGAGCCGTCAGGACATTGTCAATGCGACTATTAATGCATCCAGTATTTGGACGGACTGTACTGTGCTCCGGCTTACCAAAAACATGCGTCTTCATAGCATTTCTGATTCTGAAGAGCGTGTCGAGGTGGCTGCATTTGCGGATTGGATTGCGAGTATTGGAGATGGTACTATAGGAGGACCAAATGATGGTTGTGCTGCAATCGATATTCCAGATGATATAAGATTGGATCCCTCAGATGATCCAATTGCTACGATTGTAGAAAGTACCTATCCAATGTTCAAAAACGCAACTGACGATCCGAGTTATTTGAAGGATAGGGCAATATTAGCTCCCACGTTGGAGGTTGTTGAGTCCATCAACCAATACATGTCCGAGTTGAATTCTTCTAAAGGTCGTACGTACTTGAGCTCGGACAGTACTTCTAAGGCGGATTCCGGAAATGATTTCTTGGCAGATCTCCACACGCCAGAATTCTTGAATAGCATCAAGTGTTCTGGTACTCCCAACCATGAGTTGCACCTGAAGATAGGAACTCCGGTAATGTTGTTGCGCAATATGGACCATTCTATGGGACTGTGCAATGGGACTCGATTGGTTGTGACTAAACTATCTACTCATGTCCTCGAATGCAAGATATTGACAGGAGATCATACTGGCAAGAAGGTCTTGATTCCTAGGATGAATATCACTCCATCCGATACTAGGGTTCCATTTAAATTCCAGCGGCGGCAGTTCCCACTTATGGTTTCCTATGCCATGACCATTAATAAGAGTCAGGGACAATCTTTATCCCACGTTGGTCTTTTCCTGAAGAAACCCGTTTTTAGTCACGGCCAATTATATGTTGCTGCTTCGCGTGTAAATAATAGAAGGGGATTGAAAATATTAGTTTGTGATAATGAAGAGTTACCAAATAATCAAACTCATAATGTTGTGTACAAGGAGGTTTTTAATAATATATGATTGTTACCGAACTTTTTATGATTCAACAATGTTCCTATGTATTTTAATGATTTCAATTTCGATCCTAATGCACGTGAGGTTATATTATTCTTCTAAATTTTATATTCCGTGCATCGCACGGGTTACGTACTAGTTTATATTGAAAATGTCATACATTTTACAATATTTTTTTTTTTAAAAAAATATGTCGCTTGTACATAAAAATATGCATATTTGTTGAAAAAATTAATTATCTAACAATTGCACCTTCCTCTTGAATTAAAAAAAAATAATAATAATAACAATTGCACCTGCCTACAACCGTTTCCACAAAAACTGTTATGNTATACTTATTTTTAACAAATATACATACTTTCATATACAAGTATCATACATTTAAAAATAACATTAAACAAACATGTGCCATTTCTCAATATTAGGTAATACATTTTTGTTCAAAAAATATGATGGATTGACTCGCCTAACGATTAGGCTATCTCACAAAAAAATTGTGTTAATCAAATTAGCAGCGAGCAAGCATATGGACAACGTGGTAAAAAAACACAGTTATATAGTGTATGCAACCTCTAAAAAACCAAGACATTCTGAACATGCACAAACGAAAATGACAGATCCCGACTTGAACAACAGCATTTCTTGTAGAATACAAAGAATGTATCATCTCAAGTTCTCATTCCACCAACCAAGAGCCGAACCTTTTAGACATGAATCAGACAACCGAGTCTTTCTCCTCAGTAATTTGGCCTCATTGAGCAAGGATTGTACATAAATCCACACTCAACTTGTGTGTGTTTTCTTGTCGATGCTCGACTTGCTTAGAATTATAACGCCAATCACTATTAACACAGCGCCTGCAAACCACTATAACAAACGAACTTGCATTACAAAGGCAGCTAACAACAGCGACAATTTAGTTAAGAAGATTGCCTATGAAGGTGAAAGCCCGGAAATTAATTGAAAGAAATCACCTTAAGTGGCAGTGCCTCCTCAAAGAGAAAGAAACCAGACAACCCAGACGAGAGAAAATTGGTCGCAAAGTTTGTCACAGTAGCTTGTAAAGACGAGAGAGACCTCATACTGTTAACGTAGCATCCCCACATTATGACGTTGAAGAATATAACCAGAACATATTTCAACTGTCAATGCCAATTCTTTTATGAGCGTGTGTCGATAATACATTCAATATTCGAGAAAGTGCAGAAAACGGACATCAACCAAAGCACAAATAGACAAAAGTAGATGATTTGGTTCTTTGTTCTTAATTTTATATCATTTCAGTATGATGGATCAGCCTAGGGAGATAAAGGTTTATCTCGGAGAGTAAAAAATTCCCAAACTTAGGACTTCAATTATCTAGGCTAACCTCAAAGCAGTTCACTATGGAGATTCTTGACAATAAAGCTAAGCCATAAAGAGCCCTTTTTTTTTTCAGCAAATTTGCAGACATTTACTCATAACTTTTCACCAAAACAAGTAAAATTTATGAATCAAAATACAGAAGTAAGCCACGATAAGCAGTGTTACGATATCATATTCAATTAAATTAGTTTCTAATATCTGGGGTTTGTAGCTTGGTTTATTGGGGATTGCGCAAATTCTAACATAGAATGAGTTATAACGATTTTTTTCGAAAAAAGAAATAACCTGGGATGAAAAGAATTTCGCTGAAATGGCGGCAAGAGCGGCGTTGAGTCCGGCAGAGGCAGCCCAGGCATAGCCTTTCTTCCTTTCTATCTCCATGAATTGTGTTCACTAATCACTGATGATGAAAAACACAAAATTTGTATATATAAATGGCAACCTTTAATTAAATCCTTTCCGGGAAAACGGGTCGGATAGGCCTGAACCTGACCCGACATAGTTNAAATGAATAAAACGAATAACCCGTTTTACAACCAAACGAGCAGAAGATCCAAGAGCCGAATACAAAGAGTACGGGAAACCGGTCTAGAAAACTCCTCGAGAGCACACCGACATAATAATCATTTGAAACACTCGTTTGGAAAAAGAGACTAACGAAAAAAAAAAGAAAAAAAGAAAAGGAAAAAAGAAGAAGAAAACGGAATAAAGAGGGAAAAACTTGGTCATGTGCCATTGAACTTATTGTCTATGTTTGAATTGACTTGTAGTCCCTTGGTCTTATTGAAAATATTTGTATTGGGGGACTGAGAGTAAACAACTGATGCATGGGTAGATTTGTAAAAGTCGGCTTGTGACGAGTCGATCATGTGTGAAAGGACATTGGACGTGTTTTATTTTGTATGATTTGAGATTGTGCAAAACATATTTTCAAATTGAATATCGACTATAAGGATATCGAGACAAAATGAGATTGACATACATAAGGACATGAAACGAGTAAACAAATTTATCTTTTGAAAAGGTTGGCTAGATTGTTTGCTTGAAGACAACCAAAAGGCTAAGTGCGAGAGAGTTGTTTTATATGTTTTTGTTGTTATTTTATGTATTTTTAAGTATTTTGTTTATGTTCATTTTAATTTATTTAGGTTTTTCCTGGTCCATTTAGTCGTTTTTCCTCATTTTTGTGTTTTTCTTGTCGTTTTGGTTTCTTATTCTTTTTATTTCTCTTTTTATCTTTATTTTGTAGGAAATTGAACTCCAAGTTCATTGGACGTCGCCTGAAAACTAGACGGAAAAGTGTCGAAAAACTAGCCAGAAAATCGCCTGGAAGTTCTTGGCCGGTTGACCCGGTCAACATTTGGTGAACCCACGCTGCTGTCGGAAGACCAGTCCTGCGTATCTAGGAGACCCGCGCTTGCCCGCAAGGCTGAGAAACCCGCGCAAAGCATTGGTGAAATTTCTAACCTATTTTAGGGGAACGAAGTTGAAGCTATCACCAAAAAGAAAAATTGTGAAATTTATTAGGAAGGGAATAAAGTACACAAAGGGTAGTAAGCAGGACAAGATTAACTAATCAGTAAAGAAAGGATAATAAATTTTTTTTATTATCCTGACCATTAAAATAAACTAGCCTTAGTGTTATGAGAATGGTACAAGTACATATAATAGCGTACATAGAGGTGCAATAACATTCACATAAGTGGCCATAATCAAAGGCTGTCTGGCGTTGGTTGAATCTAATGGATTGATTGGTGCAAATAACATTCACATAAGTGGCCATAATGGATTGATTGGTGCAAATAACATTCACATAAGTGGCCATAATCAAAGGCTGTCTGGCGTTGGTTGAATCTAATGGATTGATTGATGCTCCTCGCTGCATCTGCCTTAATGGTTGCGTCCAACTTCGTGTTGACGTTATTTATGGCCTGCTGACCCCGCTGGAACCGTACATGGCCTTCTTGAACTTCAACCTGAAGACATTCATGAGCCAATTGTTGAGTCTCTTGACGATCCTTAATTTCCTTTTGGCCATCTCGAAAGGTTTCAAACATCGTCTGAAGACGTTCATGAGCCAATTGTTGAGCCTGTTGAAGAACCTTAATTTTCTTTTGGCCATCTCGGAGGATTTCAAGCGTCTCCGTCAATTCGGGATGGACAGGTACCATGCCACCATTGTTTCTCCTCATAAGGACGGAATATACCAGATCCGGTATAATTCCGTGCTTATGAGGAGAAACAATGGTGGCATGGTACCTGTCCATCCCGAATTGACGGAGACGCTTGAAACCCTCCGAGATGGCCAAAAGAAAATTAAGGCTCTTCAACAGGCTCAACAATTGACTCATGAATGTCTTCAAACGATGTTTGAACCCTCCGAGATGACCAAAAGGAAATTAAGGATCGTCAAGAGGCTCAATAATTGGCTCGACAAGAGGCTCAATTGGCTCATGAACGTCTTCAGGTTGAAGTTCAAGAAGGCCATGCACGGCTCCAGCGGGCCATAAATGATGGTGAGCAACAGGCCATAAATGACGTCAACACGAAGTTGGACGCAACCATTAGGACAGTTGCAGCGAGGAGCATCAATCAATCCATTAGATTCAACCAACACCAGGCAGCCTTCGACTATGGCGTACATGGAGGTGCACATAACATTCACATGACGCAACTATTAGGGCGTTTTCTCGGTATTGGAGAGTGGCTATGGCATTGCCTCGCTCGATTATGGCAATATTACGTTCAGCGATGGCCGAGTCGCGCTGGAGAATGGCCATGTCGCGTTCGGCAAGGGCGGCCTTCTTTTCTGAGACGGCGAGGTTGCGTTCTTGGATGGCGGCGTCTCGTTCGGCCATGATAGCCATTATTTGTTTCATCGAAGGCTGGTGCCGCATCAGCCACTAAACCAAGGGGAAAAAAAAAGGCAAATTTTTGTGGTGAGTTTTGTGATTATTTGAAAGATAATCGGGGAAGGTTTCGGTTTTAGTATAATTAAAGCGCAAATACTCAGTCATATGTGGCAATTGCAAATAAATCCCCACCCGAGCTTTGCATTTATCTAAAATATCCGCCTCTTGAGGGTAACAGATTGCGAAACAGGAANGGTTTATCTGTGATATTGAAGACCTCGGAGTAGTTTTGTTTAAGCTGAGATGTAATAAAAATTACCTGACCCTGAGGCGGTTTGTGTCGCCCATTTTCACGGTGCGAACTGTCGTCCATCTAAGATCCACAGTGAAAAAAAATATTCAGCTCGCAAAAATGTTCATTTTAGAACTGTAAACACAAATATGAAGCGAAAGTACATCACTTATTAGAGCAGTGTTTGTTTGCCTGATATGCAAAGGTCCCGGATGGTAATTTGCCAATCTTGTGCTTGTAGAGTAGAAAAAAGTGCTAATAAATCGAGAAAGGAAAATGCACTGGTACATTATATGCAGGATGGAGACGAATAGCGGGGAACATCTTTCTGCAAAATCCTCCTGCGGAGAAAATCATCAATATTTGAGGAATAGGAAAAACAGAGAACACCAAAATAAAAAAGAAAATGAAAAATCACTTATTGCAATGTAACAATGACGTACTTGATAGTGACTTATAAATAAAGAGAGAGCTGACATATTTAGAAGCTGAGCACGACACATGCCGAGATTAGTGTACATTAATGGTAATTCTGATTCAAAGTTAATTGAGAGTAAAGATGTCATGCAGCCTGTATTGCTAAAATCAAAATTCAATATAAATTACGAATCAGCTTACTGTCCTATAAAGATTTTGAATCAGCTTACAGTCAGATACATTGAAATTCCAAAAACTACCCTTGAGGCTCAATCATTTTATTTTTTTAACTAATAAATAAAAAGAAGATAGAAGTAAAGAAAACCACCATCTCTTCAAATTACACATAACCCAAATGAGCTTTCAATTTACCTCACAAATGCCCCACCCACTTGGGTGGACACTTCTGTAAGAATAAACAAATATAAGGCAATATTTTCATTTGAATTTTCATTTGGTGATTAGCCCGTTGAACAATTAAGAATATAAACATAAACCAAACTTATTTCTCTAGTTCTACAAGGAAGTAACTATGACAGCACATACATTACTAGCTGACTCGAGTAAATAGTCAGAACTCGGAAGACAACAGGTTTAAAGCCCTCAAGTTCGTATATGCTTATGTCATGCGATATAATGCCAAAGTTAGTACTGTAACTCTGACCTTTCAAGTTTCAACTAAGTCTCGAAAAATATTGCTCTTTCTCGGCACGAGAATTAACAGTATGCTAACTAAAATCGAATGGTAATATATATATAAATATATATTAGATATTTCGGTAATATTTTAAACACAGTAATAAATGCGAATGATTATTGGAGGGAAAACGAAAAGCTTGATAATAGACTACTTCTCTATCTGAATGAAATAAAAAATAAGAAATAGATTTATCAATATTTTCAATATATTTTTCACAATACAAGAAAGGCAGCATTAGAAAGATCAATCNATAATATGTGGCTTGTATATGAAAGTATGCACATTTGTTGAAAAAATATAATTATCTAACAATTGCAAATGCCTAACAACCGTTTCCACAAAAATGTTATGAGGCGGTCATATGTGTAAGTGTAACAAACACACTTTGTAAGTACATATTTCATCTTTTATATAACATTATAAAACATAGATATAACACTATTAGCAAAAAAAATGCTCTAGGCCAACATTTTATTGCAGTATCACTGTTATGTAATTTTTACAAAATTTATGCATTCATAACACATTGTTCCTAACAACTCATAATTCTATCGTCCATACAATTTCCTTAATATGTTCCCTTGAAACACCAAGGTAATATCATCACAGGGTGAATAAGCTCTTCTGTTATACCTAAACACCTGACATTAGGCCATTAGCTAACCAACACATAATATTCCTTCTGTTTTTTTTTTTACCGTTAAGACAATTATACTTTTTTAACAAATATACATACTTTCATACACAAGTATCATACTTTTAAAAATAACATAAACAAAACATATGGCATTTCTCAATATTAGGTAATACATTTACGTTCAAAAAGTATGACAGATTGACTCTAACCGTGAGGCTTACTCACACAAAAATTGTGTTAATCAAACTAGCAGTGAGCAAGCATATGGACAACATGGAAATAAAACACAATTATAGAGTGTATGCAACCTCGAAAAAAAAAAACAAGATATTCTGAACTTGAACAAACCAAAATGATAGATCCCGACTTTACCAACAGCATTTCTTGTAGAATATAAAGAATGTATCATCCCAAGCATTACACCAACCAACAGCGGAACCTTTTTAGACATGAAGCGAACAACCGAGTCTTTCTCCTCAGTAATTTGGCCTCATTGAGCAAGGATTATATATAAATCCACACTCAACTTGTGTGTGTTTTCTTGTCGATGCTCGACTTGCTTAGAATTATAACGCCAATCACTATTAACACAGCGCCTGCAAACCACTATAACAAATGGACTTGCATTACAAAGGCAGCTAACAACACGCAATTTACACTCGTATGAGAACTGAAGGCATTCACTTAGTTTTGTTTAGGTATAATATTTTAGAGAAAACGTTGGATGATATACACAGATGACACGAGATTTGGGGGAATGAAATCCTATATCCTTACTTTCTTTATTTATATTGCTTTTTCCGTCATTTTCCCTTCCCGATAACATTTTCATTCTCCAAGATGAAACATGTTTGGAAATATAGAAGCAACCACCCAATTTAAATTTTGTCCAAAAATTGATTTGAAACATGGTGTTATGAAGAGCATGAAACAGAATAAAAACCATCCACAAAATCTCATTAGCATTAACAACCCAAGTAACTATGTGATAACCACAAGAAGAGTCGGATGGAACTTATAAGACATCCTAATACTTTAGAAGAATTGCCTATGAAGGTCCTGTGAACTTTTCAACATGAGTATTCAGCATAGTGAAAAAATCCCATAAATTAATCGAAAGAAATCACCTTAAGTGGCAGTGCCTCCTCAAAGAGAAAGAAACCAGACAACCCAGACGAGAGAAAATTGGTCGCAAAGTTTGTCACAGTAGCTTGTAAAGACGAGAGAGATCTCATACTGTTAACGTAGCATCCCCTCATTATGACGTTGAAGAATATAACCAGAGCATATTTCAACTGTCAATGCCAATTCTTTTATGAGTGTGTGTCGATAATACATTCAATATTCGAGAAAGTGCAGAAAACGGACATCAACCAAAGCAAAAATAGACAAAAGTAGATGATTTGGTTCTTTTTTCTTAATTTTATATCATTTCAGTATGATGGATTAGCCTAGGGAGATCAAGGTTTGTCTCGGAGAGTGAAAAATTCCCAAACTTAGGACTTCAATTATCTAGGCTAACCTCAAAGCACTTAACTATGGAGATTCTCGACAATAAAGCTAAGCCATAAAGAGCCCTTTTTTTTCAGCAAATTTGCAGGCATTTACTCATAACTTTTCACCAAAACAAGTAAAATTTGTGAATCAAAATACAGAATTGAGCCACGATAAGCAGTGTCACAGCCATGGTAATATCATATTGAATTAAATTAGTTTCTAATCTCCGGGGTTTGTAGCTTATTGGTTTATTAGGGATCGCGCAAATTCTAACATAGAATTAGGTAAACGATTTTTCTCGAAGAAAGAAATAACCTGAGATGAAAAAAATTTAGCTGAAATGGCGGCAAGAGCGGCATTGAGACCGGCTGAGGCAGCCCAGGCATAGCCTTTCTTCCTTTCTATCTCCATGGATTGTGTCGAGTGTTGACTGATGATGAAAAACAAGCTCATATATAAATGGCAACCTTTAAATACTTTTCGGAAAAACGGGTCGGATAGGCATGAACCTGACCCGACATGGGGTTGGTAGTGAAATGAAAGCATACCATAAGCCCAGTACTCCAACCCGTGTTAGATTTATAAATTGATTTTGGGACAGTAACTTCACTAAAGTTCAATTAGGCTCGCCTCTTATGGTGCGCTTTATCTGGTGAGATTGAACTCTCTTCCTTTAATAATATGGTATCAAAGCGAGTCTGTTCTAAGACCTGCAATGACTCTATAAATCTAATATGGTATCGATTAACCGATGAATATCAAATTAACGAGCTATGATTGGACAAAAGGACATTATTTATCATTATTAAATAATTTATTGCTTATTTGCTATAGATTATGTTTTATTCAATTATTACCCAACTTTATTTTTTAATGCCTTTTAATAGTCATTTTTGATACATTTACTTTTTAAAAAAGTTCTTTTACTTGTTTCTCTTTCGTTTATGTCTTCTCTCTTTCCTTATTTCACTCTCCATTCTTCATTCTTCTTCTTCTTCTTCTTCTTCCCTTTTTTCTTTCCTTTATCCCTTCCTCTATTGAGGAACTCGTGAGCATGCGAGTGGCGTCTCGTGTGCAAGTGTGCAGGATTGGCTGGCGAGCGAGCTGCATGGTGAGACTTGCGTGCAGCGAAGTGCAGTCCTCTGCAAGTGTTGGGCAATGCAGGCGTGGATAGACGGGCTATGCGCTGGGCCTATGTGCGAGCATTGCTCATCGGAATTTGGCTCGGGCTAGCTGGGCACTCGGCTCGCTGCTGGGTGCTCGGCTCGAACTCGCCGGACCCTCGACTCTTCCCAGGAAATATGCATGCGCGTTTGGGCAAATTTCTATCATTTTCCGGTGAATTTTTTGTCTACACTTTGGAGTACAATTTTCTTACAAAATAAAAGATAAAAAGAGAAATAAAAAGCACAAAATACCAAAACGACATGAAAACACAATAACAACTAAATGGACCAGGAAAAATCTAAATTAAACTAAACGAACACAAATAATAAAATACTTAAAAACACATAAAATAAAACAAATACATACAAAACAATTGAACTCACGACAATTTCTATCTCTAAGAAAATCTTTAAGAATGTGCATTATGTGATGTGTATGTGTGCTGCATTATATTTTATTATGTATATAAGTTAGGAATTTATTTAAATAATGAGCTTGTAGATTTAGGAATCATCTAACGAATTGACCAACTCATAGAAGAACTTGTAGTTAGTGATATTATTCAAGCCAAACCCAGCCGGATAGCTCATGTTCTAACTCATGCTTGTTAAATAAACTAGTAAGCTCAATTCATATTTAATCAAAGATCCAAGACTCGACTAGTTTAAGTTCAACTTGGTCAGACCATAAACCTCAAATCTTAAAATAACTGTTAGCAAACATGAAATATCTATTTGCGAATCAATTTGGTTCGACTATTTCATTTAAATACCATAAAAATAAAAAGTAATTTAAAATTAAGTTGTTCGCGAACAAACTCGAGTACTCAGTTCTTTCATAAATGCGCTCAATTAGTTGTTCAAGCCTTCGAGGTCAACGAGCCGAGCTAGCTCATGAGTCCAACTGAGCACAGGCTTGTAGTTGTGAACCATTGCTTAAGCAGAGCCGAGCTAGCTCATGAGTCCAACTGAGCACAGGCTTGTAGTTGTGAACCATTGCTTAAGCAGAAACTCTGATAAATATATGATTTTGAACACAATTAATTCCTAACTACCTGAAACTTCTCATAATTATATGATGATTCCAATAATTAATTCCTGAGTGCATCAAATTAAATTTCATTCGGAATCTGCTATACAATCGAATTACTGGGTAAAGGTTTTCAACGCGGAATCCGCTTGGCCTACCACTAATTTGGAGGACACACAACTTTACAAAATAAAACAGAAACGGAATCTTTAAAATTTCAAAACATATAATATATACATTAAAGCAACCATCCCATATTATTGGCGAAAAACTGTACCTTATTAAAAAACTATATTTATTTTCACAGCTTAATTAACAAATTAAAGATAAAAAAATAAAAATAAAAATAACGTGTTATTAAAAATCATTCCATAATTTATTCCACTGTAATCCGCATCTCAAATGTATATGTAAAAGTTTTAAAGTATGATATTTAATTATTTATATCTACAAAATAAATATATATTCCTACGAACCACCATCACATCCAGTCCCAATCCGTCACCCTATGATATGTGGACCCATATACCCTCACTAGGAATATTCCTGTGGACCACAAACACCATATAGTAACCCGACGGTGCAAGATTCCCCGACCCGGGCGCGACAACCCGGACCTGATACGTAGACACACCCACCGCCTTCATATCCAACCGGGTCAGCACCAACAGCCTCTGGTTCATCGAAAACGAGTGCGTCGCAAACGCCGGCGCAACCATCGTCACCCTAACCGAATCCCAATCCAACCGACCCGTCGGTATCGCGAACCGGATCGGAACCTGCTGCCCGTACGCTATCCCGGACTGCGACGCGGGCGATACAACCCTCGGCCGCAAGTACCCGTAACTCCGATCCAAATACGAAGGCGAAAACGACTCCAAGCTCAAATCCGTTGGGTACAAAACCCCGGTAAAATTGTAGTAAATATGCGGGTTGCTCCCTCCCACGAGCACCCGCCCGTCCCGGAGCAGAACCGCGGACGAGTGGTACATTCTCGGTATCGTGCTCGGTTTCTGCACCTCAAACCTCGACCCGACCCGTCTGTCGGGGTAATAAACGAGAGGCGAGAGAACCGGGTCGCGCCCGTTCTCCCAACCCGCGGTTCCCGAGCCGGCTCCATTCACGATCAACACATTCCCGTCGGGTAGGAGCACCATGTCGCTCATGACCCGACCCATCGGCATCCGCTCCATGGCCCATTTTGGGTTCGGGTCGTTGAGTCGGATCCTTGCGCACGTGTCGAGCGCGGGAACGAATTTCCCTCTGCGGACACGTTCGAAGGAGCCCCTCGGTGCTCCTCCGCAGAGGAGTACCTCGGGTTGATTGGTGAGTGGGAGGAGAACCGCGGAGCCGGAGCTCGGGTAGTTTCGCGGGTCGCCACCCGGGATTGTCGGGTAGGTTCGGACGAGTTTGTCGTTTTTGTAGTCGAAGAGTATGGCTCGGTTGTTGGCGAATATGAAGAGGTTGCCGTCGGTGTTGAGTAGGACGAAGGGGTAGAGATTGTTCTCGGAGGATCCGTCGTTGGTCTCGACTAGGAACGGGAGGTTGTAGGCGGAGGCGGCGGAGGAGGAGGGGGATTTGGGGTAGAATTCGTAGTTGAACTGGCGGCGGCCGCCGACGATGATCTGGCGGCCGTCGGGGAGGATGTGTGAGGTGGCGTACCAGCGGCGGCGGGAGAGGGAGGAGGGGACCTCGCGCCAGTCGCAGGAGGGGTCGGAGCAAGGTGGGAAGAGGCGGACGACGCGGTCGCCGTCGTTGAAGCCGCCGGCCTGGGCGAGGGTGCCGTCAGGGGAGACGGCGCCGGAGGAGCACCAGACGTCTGTGAGGACCATGAGGGGGCGGACGGAGGGGGCGTTTTGGAGGGAGGAAGGGTTGTATTCGACGGAGTGAGCGGTGCAGTCGAGGGGAACGACTTTGTCGCGGGGGTCGTTGCGGCAGCGGCCGTTGCCGAGGGAGATGTTGGAGAGGCCGAAGTCGGTGCGGTCGAAGATGACGACGTGGTCGTTGTGGAGGAGTTGCATGTGCATGGCCGAGATGCCGATGCTCGACTCCAGGAAGGACCACCGGCCAGCGGCGGCGACGGGGAGGAGGAGGAGGAGGAGAAAGGGGAGGATGGGTGGGAAGGGCATGTTTGGAAGGTGATTGCTCATGAGGTTTTTTGTAATTTGGTTTGAGTTGAGTGGAGTGAAGGCGTTACTTGTATATGTATATATATATATTTCTCTACATGGCGTTAGTTCGCAACTTCGCATCAATGAGTCAGAGTCAGAGACATTACAAGAAAAAGAAGAAAAATTTGTAACAGAATTTAGTATTTTCATTACATGTAGACACTCAGTTAATGATGTATGAATTATGGCGGTCAAATGTGGACCTGTGGGTAATGAGTACATTATGATGAGGTTGGACTCTTTTAGCATTTGAAATATAACGTCTACGCTAACAGAAATTTTGAAAAAAAATATTTCCATAACTCAGTTTTAGGAGTGTATATATAAAATATTGTTTCGGTGGGGAATCAATTAACTAATTGTAGCTTCATTATCTCTAAAATTCACTGATGTGAGGACGATTTTTGTCTTATTTAATTTAAAATTTTCGGCTCCAGATGTCCTCAAATTGTTAAATTTTAAAATTTCAAGGACTGACTTGATTAATTGATTTCTTGAATGCCAATTTTGTGAATTGGAGGACTACTTTTGTAAACATTTCCCATAAAAGTGTTCGTATTGAAATTCCTTCAGCAGACGGTTTTTTCCCCTTTTTCCAAAGGGATTTCCCACCTCACTTTTACATTTGTATACATTTTATCTGTTAATTCCACTGAAGGGTTTATTGCTTGCTAAGTGGAAAAGCCATGAGATTGTTTATATGTTAACCTTTTCACGTGCAGAAAGATTGTTCTTGCAAAAATATGTGGATTCTCAGGTGTTGTGTAGAATTTTTTACCCAATATCTTATAGATTATTTTGTCAGCATTACAGGTCATGAATCACGCAAGGAATATGTGTACAAAATATTAATTATTTGTTCCAAAAAAACTTCTTTCCAAATTATTTGACATATATATATCAATTATTTGATAATATTTCACTGTCTTTCTAATTAAGATTTTACTTGTACGTATATATTTGATTGTGATGGAATTAATAATCATTTGAAAATCTTTTTGTTGACATGATTTTGGTTAGACTCCTTGTATATACTATTTATGAATTGATTAATGGACTCTATTTATTCCAATTTATGTCCTCTGCACAAATTAAAAAGAAATATTAATTAATTTTCCCGACCAAAATGTTTGTTCTAAGGCCTAAGCTGTGGATTGGGGGCAATTAATTAATTCCTAATTTATGTTCCTTCACAACACAATATTGTGTTCTAAGCTGGCAAATGAGAAACGTTGTCGATATGTATTAATGGAGAGTTAGAGAGGCTAAATTAAATAGGATATATCAGGAAATTTAAGTTATACAATGACCTCTTTATATTGAAGTTGGAAATTCCAAATTCGAAAGATCGAAATTGCCATATTTATATAGAATTTCTCCTATAAGTTACAGCCATAATAACGTTTGAAGCAGCAAACTCCCCTAACAAGAAGTATAATTTTATCTTGTTTATTTTCCCTTATCCTAATTCGGGGGCGGAGTCAAGTGTTCATCTAACTGAAATGTTATTATTAAAAAGAATAAAATAGAAGTTTTTATTCAAATTATCAAATAATTTTACTTTTATTTTTTTAATTTAAAACGAAATCCATTAAATGTAAGATTTGTTCGTTCTAAATTATAATAATACTTTCAACTTATGTCATGTAATAGGAATAATAGCACCTGTACATTATGAGGATGTTAATTGAAATGTTATTATTAAAAAGTGTACGAATAAAATAGAAGTTTTTATTTAATTATCAAATGATTATTAATTTTTTTTTTTATTTTAACAAATCCATTACATGTAAGATTTGTTCCTTATATATTATATTATAATAATATTTTTAACTTATTTCATGTAATAGGCATGATAAAAAACTTTATTAATAATGAATAAATTAATCTAAAAAAAGCATAAAGTTGGTTGTTTAGTATAATTACTATTATCACAAAGTTTAATACATATGTGATTCTTAGATATATTTCGTTAATATTCTAGCCCGGGTAGGGTTTAAATCCTAGCTCTGCCCCGGCTAATTCCAATGGTTATTCCAATATTATTAATTTTATCGAAAAATTTCAGTGGATAGCAACACAAAATTTTGT